TAGAGGTCCCTCGGAAACTAACGTCATCGAAGTTGCCGACCTCCCGACAACACGTCAGTCGCAACATCTTGCCCGTCACCAAAGCTGTGTATTGCTTCCACTCAACTTCTTCGAAACGTTTGAGCAAGAATTATCAACCGCTCCGTTTGTCTGAGCCATCGCTCAACAGCCAAAGCAAAAACAAATGAAACATACCGCAAGAGTCATGTAGACAACTCAGAACCTATAGTTTGTAAAAAAAATTCAACTGATGAAGTAATCTTGCAAAAAAAACGAAGAATCAAACAGCTCGTAGTGCTGCAAAGTTCATGCAAGAATGCTTGTATTGTCTGCATTAAGCTATGGTTTTGGTGAACATGCAGTATGTGGTTTGGCATTCTGTGTTGTTCTTTCTTGGCTGCATTGCTCGAGGATTCGAAGTTGGCTGAAAATCAGCTGGTCGCCTGGAAGTGTTCAGTTGTGCAACTGTGTGTTTCCTAGGATCGGAGTTTGGGTCTTGGAGCGGCGCTGCATCTTCTGCGAGCTACCATGGAACTGGGTCAAGACTGAAACTGTCCTGGAAATTCTAGGAGCCAGATCCTGGAAAGAATGGTTTGAGCTTGCGCCACCAGCGCCACATTCTCCGCTTTAACACCCCAAAGCCTCTTTTCCTATCACCACCAACGCGACATGTGTTGCTTCATTTGCGTTGCTTTTCCTTTGTCTTTTGCATTTCTAGGTGTTTATTTTCTCGGTTTAGAGACTCGGTGCGATTCTTCCCTTGTGGCTCTGAGGATTTGTGGTACACAAAAGCTGGTCGCCGACTCGGTCTCAGCAGCCTTCACTCGCCTATGCCTCGGGTTTGGTCTGACCTGCGAGACTTACAATCAGGTCTTGCTCATTGGCCATCAGCCTTCCTGCCCATTCCAACCCTGACTTCCACCACATCAGTGAGAGTCTCACCCTCAACTCTTGTCGGTCTCACGCACACTCCCCGGCCGGTCGCTCTAATTGCCTTCGCTCAGCAGCCTTGACATGCCTATTGCCGCTGGCTCAGCGTGCGCCAACCTCTGCCTTGAGGTTAGCCGGTGCCTTGGTTCTCTGTAGAGCCCAGTTAGAGGCCAAGCCAACAAGTTTACAGGACAGACACAGCTTGCACAAAGTCTAATCGGGGGGGTTTTTAAGCCTCCAGCCCCTACAGATGCAATACGTCAAAAAAAGTGTGCCTGGGCTGGTAGTGCTAGAGCAGTGATACACCTGTTGAACTTGGGGTGACAGTCTGGCGAGCGAGCACCACCAAACTTGATGCACGGCTTCGCTTGAAACCGATGGGTCTTTGTTTTTTGTTTGCTGGTGCGGGCAATGACAGTGTTCGGTTTATGCGAAGCCATCAAACAACAAACAAACAAAACGGGAAACAAGAGCCTTCTTCAAGCTGCTGTGGGTTCGCAAACTATGTAGCCAGTTTAGTAACCACTTTGCAAAGTGGCTCGACAAAGAGCCGGCGTCCTGAGCCGTCCGAAGCGTGGATCCCTAAGAACACAGTGGCATCTTGCGCGCAGCCTTGTGCGGCCCACTCGGCTGGAAAGACTGCCCAGCGTGGGGGACTTCTCAGGCACAGCCCAACCTTTAAGCTCCTCACCTTTTCAGCAATTCGCGTAAAAGCTGCACGATCCGCACGAAGAGCCTGGATGATCGTGACTTTCGAGTTGGTTAGGGGGTGCATCTGACCCTTTGGATGAGCATGTTGTGGTACAAGTTCATGGTGTCATGCGTGTATGCACCCTGTTGACTAGCACTTTTTATCAAGCTCTACATGCGAGGGCTGTTCTTGCGATTTTTGCGCATTCTTCTAGTAGCCTTTAGCAAAAAACGAAGAAGTTTACGGCCTAAAGCCCAATAGTTGCGTGTTGCGTTACACATGTGGCTATTGTTGCTGTCGCATTTGACGGAATGCAAAGGTTTGGATTTCACACGATCGCTTGCGATTGGTTTCAACAGGTCATGTGCAAAACTCAACGCGATGTGATGTGGCACGGAATGTTGTTCGTGTAAATCTCAGCGGGATCCGTCGCTGTTATCCAGCATTTGAAGAACGATTCTGTTCCCAACACTCGCTAACTTTCACCAGACCGTTGAGCTTGTCATGTCCTACCAATGATCTGTCGCCCGTGATGTTCATGTCGATCGCATTCCGGTTGCTTTTGGTTCTCAGCTTAGTTGCTGTCTCAATTTTGTAGTTTTATTTGCACATTGCCGATGGCATTCGTCACCAAGAAAGATTCTGGCGTGAAGACCGTTGTGAAGGAGTGCTGGGCAGGGGAATGTTGGCTAGGGCCTTGACGACTCCACGGTTTTGCGACCTGGAATGTGAAAGTGTCCACCGTCCGGGTCAGCACTAGCTTGACATCTTTGAGCAGCTCAAGTCCTGGCATGTTGGCCACACGCCCCCACTCCGGAAATAGCTCAATGCTGGCTGTTTCAATATCTCGCACTTCAGTAAGCGGAGGAAAGTTTGTGGAATGGACACCTGGCAATAAAGCGACATTTGTTCAATTTTTGCAGCCGTAACCTACTGCACGACAGTTTCTTTGTAACCCGTCTGATTCGCAGTTGCTGTGTGTCCGTTTGGGATTGCAAGCAAGATTTAGAAGACAAACGTCGACATGCTTGGATAGAAGATAAACAGCTCTCCTGGCAGGGCTTCCTCACTGGAGGCACACAGGCGGCCATCACCTACCCTACGGAGTTCCTTGGCTCGTTACAGGGGTTTTGATGAGGTTTATTGATGCTTAGTGTTTCATGTTCAGTGGAGCTTGGGGCTTCAAGCAGTCGACGAGCTTCAGCCGTGGACCTCGACGATTTGAGGTTTGGACGACATGCCCGGAGCTTTATCTGGTAGTTTCAGAAACAGAGGATCCCGATAGAGACATTCAGTAGCAGGATACTTCTGAGTAGGGCTTTCAAATCAGAATCCCCGAATGTCCTGACATGTGTGACCCGAGGCTGGGCAGAACAGGGGTGGTTTGAGGGTTTCCTTTTTGCGGAAAATTCATCCTACAGTGAAGCCTCATGGTTTTGGCAGCCTCGAGTTCATATCGCCCAGTGCTCTTCGGGGCCAGGCTTGGGTGTAAGTGCAGCATTGTTGCCATCCAAGCTCCTCAAGCTCCATCCCACGATCTGCGAAGCCTGCCTCCCTACCCCCATGAGCCTCATGTCTCAAACCCCAATGTCCGAACGAATATCGAGGTACGTGAAAACGCAACTCCAACTGCAGTCGCGGCTCGCCTGCAGCGTTCTAGGAGCAGGGGTTGAACTCGGAGGTATTGCTTGCTGTGAAGGCCCCGTGTTGAGTGCACAGCTTATTTTTACGTCACGTATCACCGTGGAGTCTTGAAGCAGAATTTGGGAAAGACGTCGGACAGATGCAGACCAGAACCCGCAATGCCAGATCAATATTTTGCCTTTGTCCTAATCTTCTGCATGCCTCGAAACTTCATGTAAGCAGGCTGCTTTTCGGATTGGCTTTGAGTCCTTCAGCGACTATTGCTATGAACGTTGTTTCTAAGTGATTTTGTTAGTGCCACGACGGTTTGTTTAGTGTGATAACAGTGACTCTCGTCTGAATTATGACTAATACCACTCTTGTTTTCCGGACGACTACCGTCTTTGCATCATGTATCGCCATGCCGGCAATGACGCTGTGATTCCAGTTTCGTGGGTGAGGAAGACGAACCCCGAGTACTCCGGCATCATCGACTGCGCCAAGAAGACCATCGATCAGCATGGAGTGAAGGGCTTGTATCGAGGAGCCGGCGCGGGGAGACCCAGTTCGGAATTGAATGGGAAAGGCTGTGAGTGCTGATGGGTTTAAAACCCAAAACCCAAAACCCAAAACCCTAAACCCTAAACCCTAAACCCTAAAACACGGTTAAGATTCCGAACGCCCGATCGCGAAGCCGATCCAACTCCCACACCCAGGCCCTCAGCTCTGAGCTTTTAAAGCCTGAAGCCTTCAACCCCAAATACAGGTCCTGACTTCTGACATTCAAACAATCGTGAAAACCGAACCGCCAGAGGTGCGCATCATCGGTGCAGGATTTCAGCAAATGTGCAGGCCGTGTCAACGTGACTTCGGTGTCCACATGGTTCTACTATTTCAGTCTTCTACACACTGACGAGGGACAGTGTTATTTTCCTACAAATCCATTTTCAAAGATTAGCGTTAAGTCCGAAGAGTCACGTTCGGGTGGTGCTAACTGTACTTGAAGCCCTAAATTAAATCCTGCATCCGTACTCAGGAATCCTCAGGATCGATGTCACTATGGACTTTCAAGGGATTGTAAGCTGAGGCTCCAAACGACTACGTAAAGTAAAGATAATGTAGTTAGTTGGGTATGAAGGTCGCGATAATGGGGTGAGTCCAACACAGGTCCCGGTTCCACGAGTGCCGGTGCTGTTCCGCTTTAGGACTGCAAGGATTGTTCTCCGCACTTCGCAGGGTGGCTTCGCCGAGATCGCTATGTATGCAAATGTTCACTGCTACTTCTTCTCTCCTGTCTTCGAGGGTGCATCTAACAATTTATGAAGTCGATCAGTAGCTGCCGAAGCCGACGGAAGCCGACAGGGCCGTGGCGATGACAAACAGCATGGCAGCTTTGACAATGCATCTTTAATTTCACTGGTACCTGAGAGCACGTCCTGCAATCCTTTGCTCGCTATCATGACCTAGCATGTCGAGAGCTTGCAGACTGTGGCTGCCGCTCGTCCTGCCTGCCCCACCCCAGCACCAAATCTGAACTTTGTGCTGGTTTCCAGCTCTTTCGTTCTTCATATTGCGGTACCTTGGGCCTCCCAAGCTACAGGACTGAGCTTGTGGAAGGAAGAGCGGGTGCCTGAAACTGAGAAAAAACTCTGGGGCCATTGTTGGCTTTATGTCCGAGGTTATGTGCAACACCTGTGGTCAAGTACATTTTTGCACAAGTAACCAACAACCTTCGACGACTCCTCAAATTTCAACTCCCAAAACAGGCGGACTCCACCCTGAACATCGCAAAACTTTGCAGACCCTAAAACCCACGACCCTAAACCTGTCAACATCTGCCCAAGCGACTCCGAACGTCCTTTGATGAAGCACCGTCTTTATGTCATGGAAGACTCCTTAAGACGAACTCGTGGGTGGCGACACGGAAACAAGACATCCGAGGAAGAATATTTTAACCTCAAACCAGGCGACAGAAAGGAGCCTTTATCCAGACCGCACACTCGTGGAGCCGTTACGCCCTTTGAACCCCAAAAGCTTTTAAGCAGGTGGGGCGCCTATACTAATCTTACGCAGATCTTCCGTGACGAGAAGACAGGCCGGACCTCGGCCTCAGCCAAGCACCGACTCTTGAGCCATGTAGGCACTGATCCAGGATGGTGTTTCACAGGACGAATAGTGGTTTTGTCGGACTGTAAGCTGCAGCATGATATGTTTCAATAAGGGGCCTCTTGCTTGACAGCTGAATCTATAACCCCATTCAAATTCTGTGCGGCAAGCTCAGCCAAAACTTAAACCCAAACTTAAAAAGCCAAAAAGTCTTCAAACCCTGTCGCGCAGGCAAGCTCAGCCAATCCATGAACGTGATTTGCGGCCTCGGTGCCGGTATTTGTGAAGCTGTCTTCGCTGTTACCCCGGTGGAGAGCCTTGTCGGCTATCGATCCAAGCTTTGCACGTGCGTCTAGGGTTTAGGATGGTTTAGGTATTTGTAAGTTGAGGCTAAAGGTCTGGAGTCTAGGCTTCGATGTCGGGTCGAAGGCCAGTGGTTCAGACATTGGAGGTTTAAAGTCTTTAGAGTTTAACAGCTTTGCAAAGGGCTAGACCTTTTAGCCCGAACCCTCCCACCCTACTTGCGCCTCTGGAAGAGCATGCAGTGGATAATCCCCGCGCCGTAAAGTGTTTGTCGTCTATCTTAGGACTGTGAAGACCCGCGTCACCGACGACCAGAGAAGGGGCACCGGCAACTACAAGGTCGCCTAGCTTTGCAAATCGTGCTTTCCGGTAAGGCTCGCCATCGCAGTTCTATGCGGAGGGATGCTTGACAAGGAGAGATGGTGTTCATGCTAGAGCGTGGTTTGGCCATCCCTTTTCGTCGAGCTTTCGTCCCGGGTGTAGCGGTCTCGGGTGCCTTTCTTTGCTGGGGTGTGCCAGCTTGGGATTTTCATCCAGGAGAGAACGGCTCCAACCCGTCCCCTGATGCCGCATCAGCGATCGTCCCTTTGCCATACCTGCGTTTGATTCTTCTGCAGGCCTGTTTTGCGTGTTTTGGTCCCTTGCTGTGCTGCCTGCACTATTGGCCAGCTCTGTCGTGCTTTTTTGCCTGCGTGTCGCTATGTGCCAGTATGCTGAATCAGAGGTGACAAGACAAGGCCAACCTGTTGCCAAGTTCGAGCTATTCTTCTGTGAACTCGCCCTCCGCATTTCGAGTTCCTTTCGGGTTTTGGGGCTCTTGTACTAAACTTCAGGCTTGTTTCACCCGCAGGAGCGAGCGCACTGGCTCTTGGTTTACCCAAGTTTCTGCCTCTTTCCGATGTCTTTGGCTTCCTGCTTCTCTTTCCTCTGTATCTTGCTCGTTTGTCCCGTTGTCCCGCTTACTTTGGTTGTTTTCTCCATTGCTCTTTGCTTTTAGCTGATTCTTCTCTTGGCCTTGCTTGTTTCACATGTCTCCCACTTGTGTACTCCCTTCGTTTCGGTTTTAGCTCCACATTGCGCCGCTTATTGGTTGTTTCGTCCCGGGGTGCGTTTTCACTCTGGCGGCCTTGTACCATGGTCTTTCCACCGTGAATTGGTGGCTGGGGCTGTTGCACCTCTTTCCTGTCTCCTCAGCGTTGGTTCCGCTCTTCCTGCTCTGCGAGCCTTTGCCCTCAATTCCGTCCCGGTGCTTGTCCGCAAGATTCAACGGCCGCCTTGCTCGTGAGCGCTACGAGGCTCGTGGCCCTGAGCTCGCGTGAGTCCAACTGCCAAATCTGGCTGCCCCTCCCGCAGTTGCCCCATGTTGCTGCTGTATCCTCCTCCTCCTCCTGCTCAGCTCCTCCTCGCTTTCCTTTTTCCCGAAGTTTACCCACACATGTCGCGCACGTGGAGGAGTAGTGATGATACGAAGTGTGAAAAGAATGACGAACGGCCAAACATACCATGCGGTGTAGCTTCGGGCGTTGTCCTCGAGTTTGCCGCAAGCCCTTGAACTCGTCCTCGTCATCATCAGTAGCATCACTATCAGCAAAATTGCAGCTGCGATCAATGTTGTCTTGTACGTCGACATGTCTACTCTCGACATCGTAGCAACCTTCATCGTCACCAGCTGTTGTTTCATCGTCATCATCCTCACCCTCAGCGTCGTCATCAGCGCCGTCACCAGCGTCACTCACTGTCTGCCGTGGGCATATCGCTGTGAGTCCGCAGTTGCAGACTCAAAGCCCCTGCCCAGGGCTCCGCGGATGCCATCGCACGCTCCTCAGACCTTCCTGCATGATCCATGTTGAATGCCCTCGGGAGCGTGCATCCGGGTAACGCTTTGAGATTCGTGTTGCGCTTGGTCTCGAAGTTGACTTGCTCGCAGAACTTTGGTCTTGCAAGTCGGGGTTTGTGCACGAGGACTTGCAGTTTAGATTTACGGCCCAGGGTGCATGGGATAAATGGGATTAAACCACGAGGTTGATGCACCGCATTACGTGCGAATCCGTGGTTTGCAAGCCGCTCGTGGTTCACAGGTATGTCATAGATGCCGTACCCAGATTTGAAACCCTAAACCTCCCACACCCAGAGAAGCGGTAAAACCATGTTCCGCCCAGCCAGAAGTGAGGTCAAGATTTTGCGGTCCGAGGGGCCCGTGGGCTTGTACCGAGGCCCTGGGCTGGAGTTTTTTAGTTTTGTTTGGAGTGCAGGGGGCAGGAGGGGCGGAGAGGCGGTCTGGAGGGAATCTTGAGGCATGGGGTTTGGAATTGAAGTTCAGGAGTTGGGGTGTACGGCTCTGCGAGGCTCAGCATGTATACATGTGGCTTCTCCGCTCGGGCTGCAAGCAACGCTGGTCAAGGAATTCAAGCAACTGTCAGGAATCCGAGCTGCATGCGGGTCAGTGAGTGGGGTTTGATTCCTAAGACTCAAGGCAATTGGGTCGTTGACCGAACCTGCTTCCAGGTGCTTTCCCCACCATCCTGAAGCAGGGCACCAACCAAGCAGTGCGCATGCCGCTGCAGGCGGATGTTGGGCTTGCCGAGGCTTCAAAGGATTCAGAGCAGCTTCAAGGTTTGTCGAAGGGGTAGTGTGTCAGAAGGAAGGCGGAAGAAGACGAGACGGCGTGGGTGCATCCTTCACAGCACAGCTTCACGAGATGCTGCGAGTGATTCGGTGTGCTTTCCTGCAGCTTTTGGAAAGAAGCTGACTTCATGCAATTTGACTTTTCGTGCGTGCGCTACTGCGTGCTGGGGGATCCATCACCGCCCTGCAAACTCGGAGGGCAGCATAAAGTCAGTGTGCACACAGTACACATCCCTGGAAGCAGGGTAGGGTCATAGGCCATCGGCCTAAAACATGAAGTCATAGCTAACTGTCATGATTCCAAGGTGCTGACCCAAATGCTCATTCCAGTCCACCCAAGCAAAGTCAGAAGGTCGACGCGGAACCCGCGCGACTGCGTCTCCCTTTTACCTGCAGCTGGGAACTCTCGTGTCCGCTCCGACCCCACCCGAATTCCAAAAGGACCTCAACCGCAAAACCAGGTGTCCATCTTCGGTGTCATCTCCTTTGGTGACGAGTCGCAGAAGCAGAATCCTCTTCTGCCACTTGACTGCCAAGGGTCTGGTGCACATGGCCAAGTCGAAGGAATCATGTAGGATTCGATGTTTAGGCTGGTCTAAACTGGAATCCTAAACATGGTACACCACACTCCTGGACCGGCAGAATCTTCTACAAGAGACGAAGGAAGCATCAAAGAGTCCCAGAACTTAGGGCCCTGAGGCCTGCATGAGCTTCGATGTATTTTTCTTTGAATTCGGTGGCGGGTCTGCGGAGTTTAAATCTTGAGCCCGGCAAAAGATAGCATCAGCAGTATTGTCACATTAGTGTCCGCCAGGAACGGTGCTGCCGGCTTCTTGGCGGGTTGCGGTTCCGTGCTGCTGACCCAGCCGCAGGATCGGGATGGCACAGGGTGATTGCAAGGCTTCGAACCTGATGCACCAGACGTGCTAAAGGCTGCAGGACGCAGTGTTGCAGGAACTGTAAATTGGTGGTTGTGTCAGTCTGCAGACAAACGTTTTTGTAAGCTTCGAGGTCGGGGATAAAGTTTCTTGGTTTGCCATGATTTTGTTAATCGCATGTTTCTTGGGCTTTGCGAACAGGGCCCAAATCGCCGCAGAGCGCGGAAGATTGCAGAGCCTCAGCACCCACCATGGGTGCAACCCTGAATTCATCGCCAGGCGTGCGTCCCCTTGGACCCAGCACACTACGAAGAAAGAAAGGGTTTCCGAAGCAATGCCTGCTTGCCATCCCGGCCGCACATCTCAAGAGCAGCTAGAACAGCAATCTCACACTGAGAAGATCCTTCAGCCCTAAACCCTAAACCCTAAACCCTAAACCCTAAACCCTCAACCCTAAACCCTAAACCCTAAACCCTCAACCCTAAACCCTAAACCCTAAACCCTAAACAGGCTTCAACCTTGGAAACTGCAAGTCTCCCAAATCCTTCGTGGCTGAACCCTGAGCCCCAAAGCTTCCCAAAGCCAGAAACCCCCAGCAGCGGCTACCACGAGGACTGCGTGAAGTCCCGAATGCAAGGCGAGGCGGCCAAGGACTTCCGCAGTCTTTGCGTGGCGTGGGTTTCGAACGATTTAGGGGAATAGGGGTGTTTCGTGATCTTCTAGAAGTATTCAGGGTGTTGAGGTTTTGCGTGTGTGTGTGTGTGCGCGCGGAATTTGGGTATTTTGGTCGGGAGCTGCCGGGATTTGAGGTTTCGGGTTCAGGTCGCTTCAGGCGGTGTGGAGTTTGGAAGTTTGGGGTTGAGTCGTCGCAACAAGGATCCTGTTGCTTGGGGCCGCTAAGAGGGGCTTTAGTTTCAACAAGCTCGCCTTCTAAATGCCTGCAATTTGCAATGATCCGGCCTGGAGCTTCTGTGCGAACAGGCTTTCTCGTCTCACTTTCAAGCAGAGCCTGGGGCTCTTCTCTAAACCCGACAATCCTGAAGCCTGAGCCCTATCCCACTGCAGGAGCTCTACTCCGGAACTCTCGACTGTGCGTGCCGCGGCTACGGTCCTCAAGGTTAAGGGCCTTTACAGGGTTCTTTTTGAACAAAGAACAGCTTTACGTTTTGGGTTTTGGGGTCGACCGGTTGAGGCTTTGTCGGTTTATCGTCTTTACAGGTTCTAGTGAGTTCCGAACACTTGATGCCCAAGGACCAAGATGCTCAGAACCGAGGGCCCTGCCGCCTTCTTCTCTGGCGCGATCCCGCGCTGCGTGCAGGTCCTATCCGGGCCTCGAAAACGACGTTGCAGTTGGTCGTCCTTGAAAACTGGTCCTTGGTGTTGTTTTGAAAGCCAAGCAAGATCTACGTGCACTGCCGTCAGGATGCCTCTCTCGCTCCAGGCTCCCTTTACCTGTACGGAAGCGAGGGAAGAAGAGGGCGCTTAGATAAGTCAACTCTCAGTCCAAAACGCCCAGCCTCGAAGGTTCCAAGCAGACTCAACTCCACGCCTCCGCGCCCCAACCCCGTCCCACGTGCTTGGGCAGGTGGGCATGACCAGCGGAATCAGCTTCGCCCTCTTCCCAGTGATCAGCAGCTGGGCCTGAAGTCTCCCTGCCCCCTTCCACCAACTAATAGAAGCCTTTGGCCTTGCCCGCAGCGTCGAACTTCTCGGAGTCTTGAGAGCTCCGACAACTGAAAGCCCGGAGGCGCTCCCATCCTAGACAGCCGCGCGCTTCTCGCAGAATGGGGAGTGTTTCAAGTAACGTCTCAAGCATACTTAGGGCGAGGGAAATTCAGGAGCTGCAGTAATCGAACGAAGGCAGGACTCAAAGCCTCAAAGTCCAAGCCATCTGAGGCAAGCTGCTCAACATGGTGATGTGACCGGCCGTGTTTCGGCCCGTCGGACCAGAATTCCAGGAGGATCCTTGCTGCAGAAGCGGCATTTTGACCAAGTCATCCCTCAGGCTTTTTCCATAGCACACTGAAGAGCAAGAAGGTGCATCAAGGCGAGAGTCAGTGCTACAACGCATGTAACAGCAAGGCCGCGTGCCTTCTTTGCGCCCATCATGGTTCCGCCTCCCCACAAGTGCGGAGGATGTTTGAAAAAGAAGCGGGGATGTTCCGATACCTTGTTATTGCATTCAAGCACGCGCAAAAAGGTGCCACTGTGCTGCCCATCTACGCTGGCGTCTCAACGGTAATGTCGATGCGTTGGCGTACTTGTGCTTGAATGGTTGAGTGATGGAGGCTGCCATGGAACTCTAGCTCGGTAGCTCGATGCACAGCCTGGTTTCTGCGAACTTCAAAGTTGGTTTATATGCATCCAAAAGCATGGCAATCTCAAGACGCAACGCAGAAGCCAGTCCACAAAACCCTCCTAAGCCTTAGCTCCCTGAATCTCAGCAGCACGTAAACCTTGAACTCGCAAGGCCCTGCCTCTGCTTAACATCGCGAACGTGTCGTTTCCTGACTAGACTAGAACACAGTGCTTCATGTAAATGTAAATGACGGCGGAGAGGATTGGACCAAATTTTGCTGACTAGCTGTTACCGGTGATTTCTTGATGTTACCGATGGAAAATGACAACAGAGCGGATTGGACCAAATTTTGCCGGGCAAACAAAGATGATAAAGATGACACAAGTATGATACAGATAATAAAAAAGATGATGCACAGAAGATTTTGGAAGAAGTTCCGGGAACAGCTCGTCGGCAAAATTCGGTCCAATCCTCTCTGGTGTCATTTCCCCGGTTACGGCTGGGAAATGACGGCGGCGAGGATTGGACCAAATTTTGCCGACTAGCTGATCCCCTTTACTTTCTGGATGTTGTCGATAGGAAATGACAATAGAGAGGATTAGACCAAATTCTGCCGGGCAAATAAAGATGATAAAGATGACTTGCATATGCTAAACATAATAAAAAGGAGGATACACATAAGATTTTAGAAGAAGTTCGCCATCCACCAGTAGCGGCGACACGCCCAAGGTTGACCCTAGTCGTGCCGTAGAGCCTTGTTCCTTGCACCCCAGCGGCCAAGCCAGAAGTGATGCGGCGAGCAGCAGCAGCACGACTGCAGTGCGTGCCATTAACGATGATCATGATGCTCACCGTGCGCAAAGGCCCATGCCGAAGCCGATGCCAGGACCGGGCAGACATGCAGAGATCCAGCAGGAAGTGCGTGAGCAACTTGTATGGGTCACGAAGTCGAGAGGACGATCATCATATCACTTCCGGCGTACGTGCGGAACACTTGGAAATGCAAAAGCACTTGAGCAGATCACAACTGGAGAAGCAATCAGGCGAGGCTTCAGAAAGTGCAAATGCTGCTATGGCACTGTGTGATAAACACTTCAAAGCTTGTATAATGCTCATGTTGCGCTGAGACGTGAGTCCCATGCCAACGCATCGGATTCACCGCTTGGCGCTGTACATAGGCGGCTGTGATGGACTTCGGCGGTTGTACATAGCTTGCGTGAACAGAGGACAGTGTCTTGAGCAAACAGCATTTTGCTGTCCATCCACGATGACATACCAATCACCACATGCGGCTGTGGAGCAGCCGTGAGTCCGAAGGAGTAGGATTATGGCCACTCGATGCATATAGGCATCTCAATCTTGAATGTGCTCATCCTTGTAACTTGCGTGCGCGGCGAGATGCGCGCCGACTTGATTCTTGGATTGCCTGCGCTTGGGTATGTCAAGCATCTTTTCATCATGGGCGGTCCATGCCTTTTGATGGAATGTTCGTAGACGTAGTGTATAATCCTACGTAGGAGTACCTAGTGAGCCAAAGACCGTTAACGGCAGAGCTCGAGAACGCCAAAGTTTTCAGTATGAGTGCTACCTTGAACTAACTAAGTATGCTGTTTGAGCAACGGAGAATACTAGTACAGTATCCCATGCCCAGGCCATGAGAGTCTGTAGGCGGGGTGTTTATGATATCTCCTGGTTGCATGTCTTATTTATTGTGTTGCTTTATTTTGCAGTGCACTCATTTTCACCCGAACATGCGAAAACATGATTGCGTGCCGCAGGCGTTCTTTCAAAATGTGAGAAAACTTACGAAGGGTTATCTATCAGTGGGCGATTATTCTACATCAAATAGCTCTGTGAGGTGAGCGTTCAACGAGACTATCATATACCAAACCCTCACGCATAAGAACAATAAGAAACAATAAAAAATGAATAATAATAACAAATAAAATACAATAATTTAAGGGGAAAATAAAGATGAAGAAGAAGAAAATCTTTTTTTACTAATTTTGAAAAATAATAGGAAGATACTGCAGACATCCGCAGATTTTGTCTAGGTTTCGTGGCATTACCAATTTTGCCAATCGTTTGCAGAACCTAACGCCTCCGGCGCGTCGCGGTGTGGAACTAGAGAGTCTGTGCTTTGGTCGTGGAGGTTTCAAGGTGTTAGCTTTGGAGTTTAGGGTTTAAGATTTGCAAAACATGCCAGGCTGGCGAGCCATCAGGCAACCTGAGCAAGCACATTCTCGAATCTCTGTTCTGCCCATTACCCCAAAAGACCAATCCCGAATGTTGGCTCCAAGCTTTGAGAAGAAAGCCCAACTTGGACCCCGTGCAACCCTAGACCCTCAAGCTTCGATTTTGTAATTCAGACTGCTGAATATAATATTCCTCTTCATGCCTGCAAAACGTTTGAAGGGTCTGCCGCCCAGTTCATGGCCGACACCACAAGCTGGTATTATTGTAGCATGAACCGCAAGCCTTTAACCTCAAGCCTAGAGCGTCAGATGTCGAACCATGAGACTTAAACAGGTCAGCCAAACCTCAACTGTTGACGATTGGCGAGTTCAAGCTTCAGCCGTGTGCCGGAAAAGAGATGTCGAGCACCTTGGCGACACAGTTTGAAAGCCAACAGTCTGTAAAAACGTATGTGAAAATAATCAGAAGCCTTCCAAACCACAGCGAGGCTTTGAGAAAAGATCCCTAGACCCTGATGGTGCAGGGATGAAAGGGAGTTCAACAATGCACATTAGTCGCCCTTGAGCCCAAGGAGCACCCTTCAGACGCAAACTTCAACTCAAAGAAAACAGCTCTTCAAAATGAACTGTTGCCTGCTTTTCTAGACCTCCTTAACACCTTCAGATAGATTGTCCAAAATGAACTGAACTTGAAAGGACGTGACAAAGCACCTTAAGAACCCTGGGAGCTCCGAGCCCGACGGCCGTGCCATGGCTGAGAAGGAGGAGCCTCTCCTTCAGCGAGGCGCCAAAGAGACGGAGTTAGGGTTTAGGGCTTTCGGGTTTATGGTACTCCTATAGTTTAGGGGCTTTGGGTTCTGGGTTTAGGGCATTGGATTTTGGAGTCTGCCACTGTTTATTCATCTATCGTGGTCTTGGGGTTCAGGGATTCAGGGTGTTGGCGGGGTTGAGCATTAAAAGGGTCTAGACTAAGATGGTTGGGTGTGGAGAGTTGGTGTAAACGACTGTTGTGGCCCCGCGTTTCATAGATACTTTCGCTTGCAGCGCCAGTGAAAGGGCAAACTCACAACAAAAACTGAAAGCAAACTTGGCATGTTTCAACACTAACTCTGAGATCCGAGTTTCGTAGTTTTCTGGATGAAAGGTACAAAATGTTCCACAAGTTCTTGCAAAATTCTGTAAAGCTCCCGCTCACGAGCCTCACACTCAACCCCCCACGGGCCGTACCATCCATGGAAGCTTTCAGGACAAACCCGAGAGTTGTTGAGCCCAAAGCATCAACCGCTAAACACTAAGGCCAAGTTCTCAATCCTTAATCCAAGAAGCAGCCGGAGACCGAAAACCACGAAAATCTCAGCTCCCACAAGCCGCGACGCAACCCGAATCCCCACATACATAGAACCCTCATAGTATCTTCTTGAAACCCTGAAAGGAAGGAGCGTTTACCCTAAACCCTAAACCCTAAAACCCTAACCGTTAACCCTAAAACCTTGAACCCCCTTATAGAAATCGGTAAACCCTAAACCCTAAACCCTAAACCCTAAACTAAACCCTAAACCCTTCATAAAACCCAGCAAGGCCCGGCCCACCTTGCGGCGCAATGCGGTGGCTTGGTGGCACCTCCATGAGCCCTGAATTTTAGGATGTCAGGGTTTAGGGTTGAGGGTTTAGGGTTTAGGGTTTAGGGTTTACGTAGGTGTTGGGTTTAAGGGTGTGGCTGTAAAAGGCCCTGTTCAGGAATGATGGATATTGAACACATCCGTGGAAAGCTTTATGCAGTTGTATGCAGTTGTTATGGTTTTGTGGGTGGCCTAGACGGTCAAACTTAAATCTAGGAGTCTGAATAACTAGTGCCGGCTTGTTCCCAAGGCCCTAAATCCAAGCCCATAGAGCCTAAACTCCAAACCCCAGGTCCTCAACCCTGTGATCCTAGACCACATCTGTACTGCTGCGGATATCCATCTTGGCAACACAAGAGCATACAAAAAGTTCAGAAATATCTCAGCTCCACAACGAAACCCGGATTTCCAACCTTGCATCCACCCTACACTTCGCTCCTTTAAGCCGGTTTACATCCTAAGTGTAGCCACAGCAACATGTGAACCCAAAACGGCAGCTTTGAAAAAGCAAAACTTCTCTCCAACCCTCCAAAGGCAGAGTCACAGCGAATCTCTGAAGCCCGTGCCTGGTTTGAAGTTGATTTGCTGCGAAGGTGACGTAGCCACATTATCCACTCTCGGTGATGCCGAACTTGAGCAGGCAAGCCGCGATGGAAGTTTCGGATTTTGGGTTTGAAAGATATGGCTGAACCCGCAGGCGTTAAATCCTTGCGTGGGCCTTAAGCCGACAGCACCCTGAGCCATAAAACCCCTCTGGAGATCTAAACCCGCAACCCTGAAGCCCTTGAGCCCCCCCATCCCCCAACCCCTAAACCCCAAGATTTGAACCTCAAACCTATGCCCAGACATCCTTAGCTCTAAAGGATCGAAAACTAGAACTCGCAGAAGATCCCATCGAAACCGATGCACATGGTAGGATACGTTTGGGGCTGTCTGTTTTGCATCCCTTGCGGGTGCAGGGCCAATAAACTCACGATTGCTCACGAGCCAAAAGGACGCTGAAACATGAGCTTCTGTGTGGAATAACCCAAAGCCGTGGGTCGACTTGAGAAAGCTCTTTTCGGAAATATCCAAACCTTGCGTCTTTGTTTTAATTTTTTCTGTGGGCCCCCCAGGAGTTTTGCGGTGCCAAAGCTTTGCACCTGGCTGCTGCGGCGAATCAGCTGCGGGCCCTCGACTTTCTGGTGTCCCGAAAGAAGGACCCTTGGTGTTGAGGGAAGCATCTGGGTTATAAGAGGTTTAGAGGGGTTCTATTTGTGCTTATCCCTGTCTTTCAGTGATTTCGAGGGTTGTGAAATTTGATCTTGAAATCCGAAGCCTAAGTCATGCCTGTAACCGAAAAGACCTACCTTTTTTAGGAGCTATATATAGAAGCCATAATAAGGAACCCTAAAAAGGTAGGTCTTTCCGGCTACACGTGCATCCTAGGCTCCTAGCTGCACGAGTTGTCGCTGACTCACTGCCCTAGGACCTCTGTGCTCAAGTCCTCAACTCCGAAATCTTAACTCCAGAGCTGCGCATCAGCCGTAGCCGCATTGTATTTGAGCTTGTGCTTTAAGGGTTACGAGCCTTGTGGTTTCGAGAGGGTCTAGCGTTTGGGGGGGATGCGTCAGTACCTGTGCGAGGACAGCATCAACGAGAAGGATGACCAAGGCGACTGGCACCAAAGCCTAAGCCCTGCGAACGGCACCGTGACCCCGACGGCCGATAGCCTCAAGCTTAAACCCGAAACTCCAAGACTCGAGCCTTATATCCCCAAGCATGCAAAAAAGCTTGAAACACACTCCACCCCAAGCCCCGTTCACGGTTTGGAGTTTGGAAGTAGATGCACCAAGCTTTGCTGAAAAGAGCGAAGGTTTAGGCTTAAGTGTTCGAGATAAAAGTGGAAACGACGACAGCGATCACAGCGCTAATCACAATACAAGAGAAGATTCGAGTACGGACGGGAAGTATCGGACGTGTACAACTTAAAGCCCCTTGAACTGGCATTTCACTTTTTTGAGTTTAGGGTTTTAGGAGGGGCTGAACCCATCCACTCCGAGGCCGCGTGCCTTTGATCCACGCGGTGGTGGGGCGTGCTGCTGAGGCGAGCGCGCGAAGATTATGGTGAGGATATGCAATTTGGACATGGTAAATGAACCCTCTTTTCGAGGGAGTTTAACGCGATGGAGATGTAGGGATAAAGGATGTTGAATACAGTAGACCGTGGAAGCAAGAACGTCTCGGATTTGATTTCGAGTCTTGGAGTTGATGAGACGCAGGTTGATGGCAGCAGTGAGACGCGAATCCTTATACAGAACCCTGACAAATTACTGCAGGTTCCTCAATTTACTTCTCACGCAACTAGCTCTAGAACCCAAACTATTCAGGCCTTTGTCCTGTCGCTGTCCTGGCTTGAAACCTGAAGATCCGTTTGCTGAATCCTCAAGGCCATCGTTTGGCTTGTTCGACACGGAGCTGACCTGCAGTCTCCCAGCGGCAGAACTGTTGGGATAAATAGGTATAATGTCCTTGTCAGATCATGCTACCAAAGTTCGGGGCCTTGGGGGCGCAGCATTACAGTCTAGGCCTTCGTATCGGGGCGTTTGCACTGCTGCTTCTGCTGTTGAGGAGACGAGCAAGATGATGAGATGAGGATGATAAATTACGGCTTCTACTGATGCTGCTGTCACGGATGCATCTGCAGCTGCTTTCTGGACGTGGAAGTCAAACTGCTGCAATTGATGACTATGAAGGAGTGATGGTAGCCGTGGTTGTTACTGCTATGTTGAAGAGGAGGATGAGGATGCTAAGAGGCTTCTATTGGCGGCAGTCGTGGTTGTGGTAGTTTTATGCAGCCACGCAGCTTGGAGGATTTAGCATTTCAGCAGAATTCAGCATGTCCCCATGACGCCAACCTGGCGTGGGAACTTCACAGCCGCAGCCCCTCAACCACGAGCACATAAAGCCTCCAAAAATCTCTGAAATCATAAAGCCAGCGCCTGGACCCTAGGCCTCAATGCAAAAGTGGCCTAAAGCCCGTCAGGGCTCTTGGAACCCTGCATGAAAGAACCCGAAATACATCGTTCTCCTGGTGCCCTAGAGCGAGTCTACATAATGCTTTCTGGCGTGAATCATCCGCATTGCATTATTAGACCCTAAACCCTAAACCCTAAACCCTAAACCCTAAACCCTAAACCCTAAACCCTAAACCCTGAGTGATAAGGCTGAAGCATGTAGTATACTGCTGGGGCTCAAAGATGAGTGTAGCCCAGGTTTTGGGGCTTTTGGTTCAGGGCTCCGCTTCGAATTGGTGGGGCTTAGGGTGTCCAGCCCACTGCGGTGGGTCCCTTTCCATTCTGCTCTTGGCCCTGGTTGCTGGAGTCTGCCTTGGCATTATCCTCGCTTTGTGGATTTTCCAAGCGTCATTGTTCCTCCCGGCTGCTCGCCTTGCCTCTCCTCCCTCCGAACCCAACGTGTCAGGTCCGTCGCGGCCCCGCTCTCTGAGGCTTAGAGGGTACGTGCATGAGCAGGGATAGTCTTTTGCACACTATCCGGTCGGCTGTGGATAGTCTTCGGACTGCTTTGCAAGAGCTTGAGGAAGCTCAAAATCCTTGGGAGATTGTTGAGCTTGACGACCACGCTGCCCCCCAGCCTTCGAGGGGACCCCTTGCCGGCCCTAGGGCCTCATCTTCCGGAGCTCCTGCCGCGCGCTCGAGCCCTCCTGCTGGTGGTCTTTCCCCTTCTTGTGTGCTCACTGGGTCGCAGGCCCCTCGCATCGGAGATCCTCTTCCGGGGGACGCCCTTTTCCTTGTATCTTCCCTGCACATTATTGATCGTCGCCCTCGGGCTGTTCGTGCTTGGGAGGCCGGCCTCCAGGCAGGGGCGGTCTTACGCCAGGAGCAGGAGGTGCCTTCTCCTACCCCGGTGCTCTCTGCTCGCAGCCGCTTTTACGTTGTCCTTTGGTGCCGTGGGGTTTCCGAGGTGCGGGTCTTCACCACCTTTGGCCGGTTTAAGCTGCACACCGGGCCTTTGGAGCAGAGCCGGACGGTCTGTCACGGCTTCCCGACGGAAGGCGAGTGTAGGGTCTTCGTTCGGGCTGCTGGGCAGCTCTTTCCAGAGCGCGACCAATGGAACTGATCAAGGACTTCCTCTCTTCACCTTACGAGTCGGGAGGCCTCCTTCTCGATTGGCCTTCGGTCCCCCCTCGCACTTGTGTCTTCGTGCCCCTGCTGCTCCGAGACGGAGGCGTGCTGGGAGCTGTTCCTTCAGGGTTCTTGGACGCGAGCCTTGTGTCAGCCGGGCAGACAGGGGCTCTGGAGGCGGTTGTTGGCCCTTCGGTGGAGGTGGCCTTGACTTTGGCAGAAGAGGAGGAGGATGGTTCGCTGCGCCCCGTCGAGGAGTCTTGCAACGCCCTCCTCGTGGATTTCAGCCTGGAGGTGGCCGCCTATGTGAGCCGATACGACCCAGTCACCTCTCCCGTGGAAGCCGTGTCTTTTGTGCCAGAACGGCCCGACCAGCAGGTGTCTTTCCCAGAGGCTTTGGCCACGGCCAGGGCTTGGCTGGCAGCAGAGGAGGGAGAGAGGCTGGCCTTTTACTCTGCGGCAGAAGGAGGCGATGCCCTTCCTCAGGGGCAAACGGGCCAAGGGGAAGTACGGAGAAAGGCGGCACCGAAGGCAAAGAGGCACACCAATGCTCAGCTGGCCGAGCAGATCGGGAACCTTGTGGATCTGATCCCGGCCCTCACCCAGCAAGTGCAGGACCTTTCGTTGCGCCAATCCGCTCTCGAGAAGAAGGCCGCCGTGCCTGCCATGCCTCAGCCGAGCCCTGTTCCTCCCCACCGCCTGGCCTTTCCCCTTTCGGGTTCCCTAGTTCCTCCGCCCAACCCCTTAGGCACCCTAAGCGGGTTGATAGGTGCGCCTCCCAAGATGCGTCATCCTTTGCGGGGCCCTCCCCCTTTGCTTCAGGAGGAGCCACAGGCCGACGAGCTAATGGTCGACGAGGAGACCGGGGAGCCCCTACCTCCGGAGAGCCAGGGGGCACTTGCCAAAGCAATGCTCCAACAGAGCCGTGCCTTAGGGACTTTGGTCACCCACCTGGTGACGCAAGCCGATGCTTCGGACCCTTCCCTGTCCTCGCTAGGGGTCGCTGCCTTAGGGTCCAGAGGTGCCTCGAAGAGAGAACGTCTCCAAGAACAGCTGGCCACCCGCTCGGGGAGCTTCCTTTTGCAGGTCAGCCAGCAAGCCTTGAGGAGGCTCAGTCCTTCGGAGCCCGTGCCCTCGACTCGTGCCGAGCTCCTCGCCCGCAAGCCCGTCTTTACTTTGTATGCCGAGCGCTTCGGAGGGTTTGGGTCTCAGCGGGGGCTAGGCATCATGTTCTGGTTGCTCGCCAACATCCTGGATGCACTGGTGGCCGGGGACACGGTAGGGGCAGAGGAGATGGCTTCCCTGGCTCTGATTGCCACCGAGCAAGCCTCCCAAGATTCAGGGTCTTGGGATATAGCCTACCTTTTGACACTGTTGGAGGATCCGCCTCACCAGTTGTTTGCCCACCGGCCTGCCTCTCAGAACCCTCGCCTTCGGGCTTTTGGGGGCCTGACCCCCCAAAGCTGGGCAACGACTACGCTGGCATATATAAAGGAGATAGATGCCATTCAAAGCCGCAGATCGGAAGCCACCGCGGCTGCGAAGGCGAAGGCGCAGCCGAGCGACCCAGACCAGGCCTTGCCAAAGCCTCGTCGCCCCCGTTTTCCCAAGAAACCCAAGGAGGCGGGCTCCTAGGCCCCGGCAGCAGGTATGCGACAGAGCCTTTTGAGGCAAGCCCGTTTGAAGGAGGCTCAGGCATCTTTTATGATAGGCCGGACGAGGCGCACCCTTTGAATGCCGCCGTTTCCCGTGTACACTTGTCTTCGAATTTGTGGTCTGGTCACCCTGGTGGGCCTTCTTCGGCCTCGTGCTCGCCAGGGCCCGGCGTTACAGTGCATGCCGCTCGGCCTGCCGATGTTGCGGCTGAGCCCCGCTCCCGTCACCACTGCCATCGGCCTCGTGAGCTTGGTTTTAGGGCCTACGGTCTTAGCCTTGCGGCCCGGGTCGTTAGGTCTAGGGGGTCTTTTGGAGCTTTTCTTTTGTCAACTTTGCACCTCCCTCAGGATCGACCACCTCGTCCTGCACATGCCCTCTTTCCCCTGCCGGTGCCTTTTCCTGGATGTTTCCAGCACATCCCCTCAGCAAAGGCCGCTCGTGTCAGGTCCCGCGTTGCCTCTAGGAGAGTTGCCCACGTGGCCGTGATGGCCTGCAACTTCCTCTTTTCCGGGGCCTCCTTCGTGCCATTGGGTTTGCTGAGCCACCGGCCAAACAAAGCTCAGGCCGCTGCGCTTTCTTATGTGCACAGGCTTTGTAGGGCGTGCGGTGCCGTGGAGCCCTTTCTTGTCAGCTCCGCTGGGCGCCGAAATCTTTCTCTTCTTTCTCAGCTAGGTGAGCTATGCGAGCACATGACTTTGGTCGGGCCCTCTGCGGACCCCTACGGCCCTTCTTTCCATGGTGCTGCTCCCAGGCTTTCTTTGGACACTGTCGGTCCTCTCCCCGGCGCTTCGGGGGACGACCTGGAGCCAACTTGTGATGGCAGCCCCTCCTCTTTGAGGCCGCCTTCCGGACAAACTCACGGGAACCCTCTCATGCCTTATGCCCCGCTCTGCGCCGAGAGGTTGAAGATTTCAGGGCTTGGTCAGTGGGACCCGGTTCCCTTCCTTGACACCGACCCAGACCTGCAGGTTGCTTGCCTTGAGCCGGACCTTCTTCTGCGTGGCGCGGAGCCCCCTCCAGGTGAGGTCCCTGATCTTCGCCGGGAAAGGCCAGGTGAGGTTTTGCGTCTTGCCCTTAAGTGGGCCGAGAAGGGCCTCCTCTTCCTTAAGGATGACTACTCTGACCAGGCCTCGCATGAGGATGCCGTGCGGGTGTTCAACTGTTACAAGGCCAGCGACTGTGATCGCCAAATTGGCGATAGGAGAGCCCGGAACTTTCGTGAAAGAGCCCTCCGCGGGCCCAGCACCTCTTTGCCTTGCGGCCCGGTCTTCCTTGGACTCTGCATCCCCCCTTCGACCAGCACCCTCCGCATAGCTGTTGCTGACCGGAAAGACTTCTACCATCAGCTAAGGGTCGGCCCTCGGAAGGCCGTGCACAATGCCCTCTTCCCTCCCCTGCTGGAGAAGGATTTGGTAGGAACCGAGGCTCACCGCCTCCTGTGCGAGCAGCGTGCCCTGAGAGAGCCCCGCGCTCTGCTTGTTCCGCCTCCTGACCGGGCCCAGGTCGTCGCTTGCTTTAAGGCAATTTTTCAAGGTGATCATTTGGGGGTTGAGATCGCGACCTGTGCTCACCGCAACATGTTGAGGGCGTCCGGCCTACTGGTGCCAAGGGAGGAGCTCCTCTCCACCCGGCCCTTCCCACCAAGCGAGGTCCTTCAGGGACTTGTGATAGATGACTTCTATGCGGTCTCCCTTGAGTCCCTTGACACCCCTCCCGAGCGGTCGCGCGCCGTTGCCCGACTCGACCTTGCTTTGGAAGCTTATGAAAAGCATCGGCTGCTTGGATCGGTGGAAAAGAATGTTCGTGGCTCGGACTGCTCGCGGGTTGCTGGAGCTGAACTGGATTCTTCGCCCGGGACCCGCCAGCTGGGCTTGGTCACCGCCGGGGCCCCTAGAGCAAAGAGGCTTTCCTTGGCTTCGATATCTTTGTCGTTGGCCTCCCTTCCGAGCACGACAGAGGCCCTGCACTCCTGCCTTATAGGGGGCTGGGTTTCGGCCTTCATTTATCGGCGCCCTCTTATGGCTGTCTTTCAGAAGGCTTTCGCTGTGTGCCCGTCCCACGTTTCTCAGGGCACGTCTCCTGCACCAGTGCCGCTCACAAGGGGAGTTTCGGATGAGCTTGTGTTGGCTGCTGCCCTGGCTCCTTTGGCGGTAGCCGATCTTGCTGCCCCTTGGGATGACCACCTTTATGCCACGGACAGCAGTGAGGAGGGAGCTGCTATTGTTTGCACGCCCGTCTCCGAGGCTACCTCGGCACAGGTGTGGCGGGCCTCGGATCGAAAGGGGGCCTCCACCAAGCTGCTCTCGAGGATCCAAGCTGCCGTCAGGAAGGCCGACCCTCTTCATGAAGAGGCTTGCCTCGAACCCCCTCCCGGCTCTGATGCCCTTTGTGTGGGGAGCGATGATTTTGGCCTCCCTTTGTCCCGGCCGGGGAGGCCGCTCGGTCTTCGTTTTCACTTTGTTCAAGTCGGTGGCCCAGGCACCTTGATCTGCGATGCCCTCTCTCAGAGAGGTTGGGTCCCTGGCCCGGTCCTGCATCTCGACTTTTCGCCTCACTACGATCTCGGTGGCCACGAGTTTTTCCTTTGGCTTGTCCATTTGCTGGACACTGGGGGGGCTGATGCTTTTTACCTCCGGCCCCCCAGTCATTTCTTTTCCGCGGTTGCGTGGCCGCCCCCTCGCCCTCTTAAAGGAACCAAGCCCTGTGCTCATGAACGACGAGCTCTCTTGGAATTGTGCCTTGCTCGTCGGGCCCTTTTCCTCTTCCATCGCGCCATTCGCGTCGGGGCCCTCTGTATGCTAGAGCAGCCCTTTGGGAGCCAACTGCCCTGCCTTTCTCCGTGGAAGGGGGCCCTCAGGCACCGTGATGTTGTTGAGGTGTCCCTTTCGGCATGTATGTTTGGCTCGCCTCAGAAAAGGCGTTTTCGCCTCCTCTCTCACCGTCTTCCTGCCTTGGCTTTGGGCTGCAAATGCTCGGGGAAGCACCTCCATCAGGCTGGGCCCGCCCCACGCGGAGGAGCGACCTCCATTCCCGGCCTTGCCGAAGCCATTGCTCAGGTTTTCTCGAGGGGCCTCCGTCGGCTACTTGAACAGCGGGCCGGAGCTGATATTGACGTGTATGGCTTGGAGTCTCCTTTGATCAACGACCTCGCCCTCTCTTCCGATTGGAAGGTTCAGGCAGCCTGGCGATGGGACCGCGAGTCCCACATCAATGTGTTTGAAACCGAGGCCTACTTCCGTCTGTGCCTTCACAAGGCTCGCCTTTGCCGGCCCTGCCGATTCTCTTCCCTTATCGACTCAAACGTCGCTAGGTGTGCCTTGAGCAAGGGGCGTTCGCCCTCGGTCGCCTTGACACGTGTTCTCAAGAAGGTCTCGGCCGTCTCCTTGACCGCAGGGCTCTATGGGGCTTTGCCTTTCTGCCCCACTCGCATTATGCCGGCCGATAATCCTTCTAGGGGCAGCGCGCCCAGCCCTCCTGTGCCAGGCCAGCCGCTCACCGAGGCTCTTGACCTCGAAGCTCTTGCGGCCCTCCCTCGCCTTCGAAGATGGGCCTCGAATTGGGTCAGGCTTGTGCTCCGGTCCTCCCCTTGGTTTTCTCCCAGCAGCCAGGATCGCTTTGCCGGAATGCCTTCCCTGACCTACGTTCCTCCCGCCTTCGACTTTGACTCCTCTCTCGGGTTTCCTGGTGAAGGCCCCCGTCCTTGTGCTGGTGGGTTTTGCTTCTGGGGCCTCTTTCGTGGTTTGGTTGTGGCTTGCCTCCTTAGCTGTTGCCATGGCACTCTGGAGCCTCGGAACGCTGGCGACACTGCGAGGCTTCAGGCCCGAAAGCAAAAGCCCCTCTCTGTTGGAAGGCCGGTCGAGAGGATCACTCAGAAAAATCGTGACCGCTTATGGTTTTCTTTCAGTGAGTGGCTAAAGGGTCAGGGTGTGCCCCTTGGCCTCTTCGACGACGCTGCGGTCCCCGACGTTGACACGATCAACGCTGTTATGGTGCGGTATGGCCGTGACCTTTACAGCGCAGGCCGTCCCTACAGTCACTTCTCGGAGACCATAAACGCCTTGGCGGCTAAGATGCCAAAACTGAGGCGCCTCCTTCAGCAAAGTTGGGATGTTGCTTTCCAGTGGCAGCGCCTGGAGCCTCACGTACATCACCAAGCTATGCCTTGGCAAGTCCTTGTGGCGATGCTGGCTTCAGCTTTATGCTGGGGGTGGCTAGATGTGGCTGGTATTTTGGCCCTGGCTTGGGGTGGCCTGGCGCGTATCGGGGAGATTTTCGCGGCCTACCGCCGAGACCTCGTTCTTCCTGGGGACACAGGTGAAGGCTACGGCTCCATCCTGCTCTCAGTGAAGGAGCCCAAGACCAGAAACACCGCGGCCCGCCATCAGGCCATTCGAGTTGATCAACCTCAGCTTGTGCAAGTTGTCATTTTTGCTTTTGAGCGGATGATCCCCGCTCAGAAGCTATGGCCTCTGTCCCCGAGTACTTTTCGGAGCCGCTTTGCAAAACTTATCGCCGCCCTCTCCTTAGACAACCTCGAAGGTACAAGGATCAAGCCTTTGGATCTGGGATCTCTTCGGGCAGGCGGCGCTACTTGGTTGTTGCAAACAACGGAGGATGGTGAACTAGTGCGCCGGCGAGGGCGCTGGATCAACACCAAGGTCATGGACATCTACATCCAGGAGGTGTCGGCTGTCCTTTTCCTCCCTCGGCTCCCTGGAAAGACTCGCGACAAAGTCTTGCAAGCAGCTTCGTCTTTTCCGGCTATGCTGCAACAAGCCCAAGCCCTCCTGGGCCTTGGAATACCAGAGCACATTTGGTTCTCTTTGACTGCCGCTGGCACGGCGTTGAGCCCAGCAGTGGTTGGGTGAAACGGGTGAGGCAGAGACAGGCGAAGCACGCTTTGTGACACCTCATGGAGGAGCAAAAAGCGACGCTGCAGCTGTAGTCCGAGTGTTGAAGCCTTGAGTGATAAGGCTGAAGCATGTAGTATACTGCTGGGGCTCAAAGATGCCCACCCTGCCCACCCGCCTGCCAACGGCAGAGACAGGCGAAGCACGCTTTGTGACACCTCATGGAGGAGCAAAAAGCGACGCTGCAGCTGTAGTCCGAGTGTTGAAGCCTTAAACAGCTTCATATTCCAACCTTTCGGACTTTGTCGCATGCACAAACATCCGAAAACTTTCGGGTCCCCTTCTCAGAAAAAGTCCGAGGCCCCAGAGTTCGGAACCCGCTCGAATTGGAAGATGCCCCAAACCCTAAATGCTCTAAACCCTAAACCCTAAACCCTAAACCCTAAACCCTAAACCCTAAACCCTAAACCCTAAACCCCGAACCCTCAAATGCCCCGAAAGCTCGAGAAGAAGCCCAAGAGCCGCTCTCCGAGGGCTTGCGACGCTCTTGGCCGCAGCTCCCTGCACTGGGCCGCCGTGATCGGGTCCTCTTCGAAGCTTTGCTGGCTTTAGGATTTGGGGTTTAGGGTTTAGGGTTTAGGGTTTAGGGTTTAGGATTTAGGTATTGAGGGTTTTTTGGGATTTGGGGTTGAGGGTTTAAAGTTTTAATGGGGGTTTCTGGGGGCCCTTTCGGGCCCCTTTCCTTTCGGGGCTTCAAGGTTTCCAGAAACTTAACCGTTCCTCGCCATCGCCAGAGATCGGAGGGAAGATAATCCCAAGCTCATTGCAAGCTGTCGATGTGTGGGCTTCTCAACTCAAGTGCGACAAGAGTCCTTTTTTCGTAAGTCTGCGCCTAACTCCCCAAACTTGAAACCATCCTAAACCCTAGAGTCCCTAGGGCCCTAGAGTAACCCTCTTGGCAACCCCTGAAAAACGAAGCCTTCTTGCTTTATAATCGAACAATTTCGCGCAGCCCTTGAAGGAACTCTGAAGAGATGAGTTTGGGTTTAAGGGGTTTAGGGTTTAGGGGGTTAAGGGGTTTAGGGGTCAAGGGGTTTAGGGTTTTAGGAGTTACGGGGCAGGGGGTTTAGGATTTAGGGGTTTAGGGTTTAGGGGTTGAGGGTTTATTGGTTTAGGGTTGAGCTTATGAGGTCCCTGGCCTTGCTGCGCACGCTGGGTGCGCAGCTGGCTGCTCGCGATGGCTCTGGTGACACAGCCCTCGGCCCCTGGTCTCTTTTTGGAAGCGTCTTTCAGCAGTACTAGCGGATCTGATTTAGGATTTTTATGTTGGTGTGAGAGGCTTTTGGAGAGTTCTTACTTTGGGGCGGGGGGGCCTTACTTTTTAGGGGTCCTCGTCATAAGGATCCTCCTGTTTGGGTTACATTAGGGTCCTGGTTTGTGAAGGTTCTCGGTGTAACGAAGGGAGTTTTGAGTTTGAGGGTGTCGGATGCTTGGTTTAGGCTTTAGGGTTTGGGTGTTTGTTGTGAGGTTTCTTTGGCGGGGGTGTCGTGAACGTCCTGAGCTAACTGACAAAGCTGGGCAAACTCCCGTAATCTAGTTTAAGTCTGAGTTTTCAGACTACTATGCGTTCAGGCTCCTGATGGCTATACATGTACAGTAAACTACAGCAACTATTCATTGTTTTGACACCCCGCCTCCGTCCCCAAATTTTTACAAGAGAACTTGGCAGATCTGGGTGCGTAATTAGTTGTCTTCAGAAGCTCATCGCCGTAGGGAGCAGTGAGCAAGTCATAGGGTGAGCCCGAAAGGGTGCTTATGCAAATACCCACGTGTCTGATTTGGGATCGGATCAAAGATCAAGGCCGATGCCAAATTGCATGGAATCGCACGGCAGATGTACAATCTGAAGTATGTTTTTTCATGACGGTTCATCATAGATGTGATATCACCACTGCATCAGCATCGTTGCCGGTGTTCAGCAAGTTTGCTCCATCGTCTGCATGGCTCGACAGTATGTTCCCTCAACGCTAAACCGTAGTTGTGGATCTGCAGGTTTGACCGAGCTACACGGCTTTGTTGCAGTCATACCGCCGAGTGAGCTTTAGCATGACTAGCCTTGCAAGTATTATTCTCATTAGTATTGCCATAGCACTCTCTCGGCACAAAGATCCTGATTCCTTCTGTCGTGATCTATTTGTTCTAGGTTGTTGATTGATTACAAGGTAATTGTTCTCCAAATTTCAGCATGGCTTTATGTGGGTCCTTGCCGTCCCATACTGGGATGTACCAACCAGGACCTCCGTCCTAGGTGGAGGTTTTTAGGGTCCCTGGCGTTTGCGCTAAATAGTAGAAGGTCGTGAAGCCTGGATTCCAAGAGATCAAAGTACTTTCATCCGAGTTTCACTCCCTGACCCTGGCCATGGAGCCGACAGCGACCGTACTGGGACGGAGCGAAGCCTTCGACAATGACACCGGCCCCCAAGACTCGGTGCCACTGGAAAGGTCCAGCGTTTGCTCAGAGGAAAGTGAGGAAAGCCTCGTCCAGGTAGAATTTGAAGGAGAGCCGTCCAGCTATTCAGTCAAAGGTGAGGCACTGGCCGAGGCACAACCTTCCAGAGTGGATAGCAGAGATCATCTCGAAGATGGAGCCCACTCGGCCTGAGGCCGTCCGTGCCACTCGTGTCCAGAATGTACTTCACGGCCTGGCCAGGCCCCTGAGAGTGTATGGCGATTTCTATCATCTGAGTCAAAGCACAACTCGCTTGCATGCGTTTTGGTCCCACAGCTGGCATGGTTCCGTTTCAGGAAAGGTTGTCACTTTGTTCTTTCTCTACAAGGCCGGGGCCGCGGCCGCGGTAGGCACTGGAGCAGCAGTCTTGGCTTGTTTCGCTTTCTGGTTAGGAGCGCTTCCGGACGATAAGACGAGCAGCTGGTGGTGCTTGAGCGTTGGATGCCTCGGCTATTTGCTGACAATGCTGTTTTGGCCGCAACAGTTGGTATTTGTCGACCGTGTATGCATCTCTCAAACTGATCCTGAACTCCAAGCAGAGGGCATCTTTAGCCTGGGGGCCATGGTTAAACGTGCCGATACTATGCTGGTGCTTTGGGATCCGTCTTGGGCTCGCCGCTTGTGGTGTGTGTACGAGCTGGCCGCCTTCATTCGCAGCAGGTCCCCAGGCGAGAAGCCACGCATCATCATCCGGCCAACCATGCTGGGATTCGTGATGTGTGCAATCTGGCTTGCGTGTGCCCTTGGAGGTTTCGCTTTCCACTTCACAAACCACACAATTGGAGTGGATGATTCTAGCGGCCGCACCGATGTCATCCTGCAGTTCAGTGCGATTGCTTTCTGCGGATTAATTTTCTGGTACATTGCGCACCTTGTCCGTGAGTACTGCCGTGAAGTTACCATCATGTGCCAGCATATCGGACAGTTCCGTGTTGCAACCGCTGAAAGCTTTTGCTGCTTTGTGAAGCACAGAAGACCCGGTGGCGACGAGCCCATGATGTGCGACCGAGAGGTGATGCAGAAATGCATCAAAACAGCATGTTCAAAGCGATTTATGTGATTTGCTGATGGATCAGCTTTCGAACCACATGTTTTCATACTGGCGTTTAGCCGAGGCCGCTCCTGTATTCTTGTGGTTTCATCTTCACATGCGGCATTTCACACATTCGGCACAGAATGGAGAATTTCCAACTGGAATCGTGATGCTTCTCGTGGGCCTGTCTTACTGGCTAGGGACGGTTCCGATGCTGTTCCGCATAATGTTTCGCTTGACTTGGGCCATGCAGGCAAGGTGTCACTGTCGACTACTGGATTACTTTAAGTCCTTGCTCCTCCTGCTGCCAGGAATCTCCATCTTCGGTGGCTTCGTTTTTCTCCACTTCTTCCTTGCCCAGAGCCTTCCGGATGATTCGTTGGGTTCGTTCATTTTCGTACTCATAATGAGTCCTCTCGCAGCGCTGGTCTGGCGAAGCCTGCCAGTACCGCTGCCACAGCAGAACATGAGACTAGCAAGAGAACAAGCTCAGTCGTAAAAGCTGGCACCAAGAGTCAACATTAGTTTTGAAGAAGCTTCGTGGTCTTCTCTGGACCGATTGTTCAGCAGGACTGGCGGTACGCGGCGCCCAGCTGGAAGTGGTGGAGCCTCTTGGCTGCAGCTGGTCCGGTTCCCGAGTCAAGGGCCCATGGCTCAAGGGCCCATGGTTGGGGTTTAAGGGTATTCGGGTGCGAGATTTGGCCATGTTCGGCTTCGGGGTTCAAGGCTCCGACAGCTGCTAGTAATGTAGGGGCCTAAATAGTTGCCTATACTACTTTGGGGGATCCTTGTTATACCCACCATCATCGCGTTCGTGCGCCCCAGAACTGCTTTGGGTACCACGGGGAATCGTGGTATACGCAGCATTTCCGGCACTTCCTCTGGGAAAACACATCGAACGCCTCGGGAATTGCAATGTTTTCGAATGTTCCACAAAAAGCATCCATGGGCCAACCATGTTAACGTCCACTCAAACATCATCCAGACAAACTCCGTCCGTTCCCACAGAGCATCCATGTGGCAACCATGATAACGTCCAGACAAACTCCGTCCGGTCCCACAGAGCATCCATGTGGTAACCATGACAACGTCCACACAAACTCCGTCCGGTCCCACAGAGCATCCATGGCAACCATGATAACGTCCACACAAACTCCGTCCGGTCCCACAGAGCATCCATGTGGCAACCATGATAACGTCCACACAAACTCCGTCCGTTGCCGCAGAGCATCCATGTGGCAACCATGATAACGTCCAGACAAACTCCGTCCGATCCCGCAGAGCATCCATGTGGTAACCATGATAACGTCCAGACAAATTGCGTCCCTTCCGAAAGACCATCCATGTGGCAACCATGACAACGTCCACGCAAACTCCGCCTGTTAGTGGCAACCATGATAACGTCCAGACAAACTGCGTCCGGTCCCACAGAGCATCCATGTGGCAACCATGACAACGTCCACACAAACTCCGTCCGTTCCCACAGACCATCCACGTGGCAGCCATGATAACGTCCAGACAAACTCCGTCCGCTCCACAGAGCATCCATGTGGCAACCATAATGACGTCCAGACAAGCTCCGTCCACGTGTCAACCATGATAACGTCCTCACAAACTCCGTCCCTTCCCAGAACATCCACGTGGCAACCATGATAGCGTCCAGACAAACTCCGTCCGGTCCC